TGGTCCCAGGGTGGGATGTGGCAGGGGGCCACCTCTCCCACGGCCCCATGATGGGATGCTGCATGATGCCACCTCCCCGGAGGACAGGACTTCTGATGTGTGCTGGCATCAGCTTGGCCCCACCAGGTTCTGCATGACATCTCCCTGCCTGTCCCCACTCCCTGCCCACTTCTGCACAGTTCAAAGCAACCCAGTGACTGCTCCATCCTCAGCCTCGGCTCTGCGGGACTGGAGCCCCTTGGGGTGAAGGGGAGAGGAGCTTTTCCCCGTACCAAACCCCACTGGTCACACACAGCCGTGTTTTGGACCCCACCTGACTTTTGGTCCCCTCCCCGGGTGCTGCCCACAGGCTTTCATCTCTGCCCTGCTCTCCAAGCTGGTGCTCCTGGGTGCTGCCGCCTGCTTTGTCCTCTCTGGGGTGGGTTTGACCAATGGACCCCTCTGCTTCTACAATGCTACTGAGCGTGGCCGTGGGCACGGCACCCTCTGGGGTTACCCCTTCCTGGACGCCAGCAGGCAGGAGCCTGACGCCAGGTGAGGCAGCAGGTTTGAGTCGCTGGTACTACCTCACTGGCTTACTGCCAATGAAGTTGGTGGTTTTTATGGTGGGTGGGGTCAGTGGGCTTGCTGGTGGTGATGCAAGGCCCTGGTACCTCAAGAGGTCCTCACCTTCCACAGCTTTCTGGTGGAAAGTGGGGCCATCAGTGTTGCTTCCTATGAAATCACAGAATCACAGACTGGTTTGGGTTGGAAGGGACCTTAAAGCTCATCCAGTTCCAACCCCCCTGCCATCAGCAGGGACACCTTCCGCTAGACCAGGTTGCTCAAAGCCTTATCCAACCTGGCCTTCAACACTTCCAGGGAGGAGCGGCCACAGCTTCTCTGGGCAAACCCCAATCACCCTGCTGATCCTGCTCATCCTTGGGATGAAGGGTAGAGTGTCTGGGACACACCTCCGTGGCAGAAAGCAGTGCAATTCCTGACCTGCTGCAGGGCAGGATCTTCCATCTCCTCCTCTCCCCATCACACAGGGCAGAGAACTACCTGCATGATCGTCACACCTGGAGCATCTGCCTGGAGCCGGAGGGTATCGTGGCCTGGAATGTTGTCCTCTTCTCACTCCTGCTGCTTGTCAGTGCTGCCGAGATGGTGCTGGCCTCCATCCAGATCCTCAACGGCTGCCTCGGGTGTCTCTGTGGCTTTTGTGAGGGCAAGTAGGGACTTGCTGTGGTGCCAGGAGGCTGGCACTTGGAGGAGGCAGTGTCCCCAGGTGACCCTCAGCCGGTGACAAATGCTGTGGTGAGCATACGGCACAGGCTGTGATACCAGCCCAGTGCAAGACAGACGGACTCCCCCATGGGGGACAGACATCCAGCCTGCATGAGATGTTGAAGTGATGTGCACAGGGTCAGCAGGCAAAGGGCTGCCTCGGTGCAGAGCCCTCTGCCCAGGCAATGCCTCTTCCTCTGCCCTGGAGCAGATGCCCCTGGGGCTGGTAGCCATTTGGGGTTGGGAACCTGGAACCTGGAATTTGGGGTGGAGACCTGGCCCCTGACATCCCAGCACCGAGCCCAGCTGCTTCCCCAGCTGCTCCTCATCAGCTTCCACCCGCCTAAGTGCAAAACCTGACACGGTATTTGTAGAGATAAGAGCTAGAAAACTAATTTATTTTCCTCAATCAATCTCCACTTAGGGCACCTTGTGTTGGTGTTTGTTTGCCTCTCGCGTAGGGTAGGAGGGATGAAGGAGACCAGAGGAGTGGAACCAGGCTCTGGCTGGGGCTGGGGGACTTGGATGAAGTTGAGTTGAAGGAGGTAGTGCTGGAAATGAGATGTGGCCCCCCCAAGAGTTCACTCGTACACACACACACATGCAGCAAGAGTTAGGAGCAGCCGCTCATCCTCAGGACTCCACTGCACCACCCGTTGCAGGGGGTGACACCAGCTTCAGCCTGTCCCCCATCCCCTAAACCTTTACAGGGACAGACTGTGGGTACAGACCTGAACCTGCCTGTGCTGCAAGGATATTTGCCCCAAAGGTGATAAAGGTCACAAGGAAGTAGCAATGATGTCCATGGGAGCTTAAAAAAAAAAAAAAAAGAAGCCATCAGCCAGATGAAAGAGTAACTGGGCTGTTCCAGAGACCGGTGAGAAAAAGAGGAGTTGGCTCGACAGGAGCATTAAAAAAGGAGCAATTTAAAAAGGAGCATAAATATTTATGACCATGGGAGGAAAGCCCAGGGTAGTAGCACCAGGTATGGCACAGCCAGAGCATTACGTCCCCCGACCTGCCACACATGGGTGGCCCAGGCTGCCCCTGGCTGTCTTCTCCCCTGCATTGCTGCTGGTTTTTGTCTCATAGGTGGCTTGTGTGCCCAGAAAGGAGCCTGGGGATGGGCTGGTGGCACAAGCCTCCGTGCCCAACCAACAATATCATTAAAAAAATAGCAATAAAAATGAGATAAAACCTAGTTTGGGACGGTAGTGCATGAATTGTGTGTGATGTGGCCGTGCTGGCCTGTGGCAGGACACTGGGCTCTGGGTTGGTGTCCTGGCATCCGGCACTGGGGGACCAGGGGAAGCTGACCTGGGAGGGCACTAGGAGATGAGGCAGCTCCTTCGTCCCCACTTCCCGCAGCGTGGCGGGCTGCTGTCCCTCCTGGGAGCAGCAGCTGTCAGGGGAATGTTCTGGAGCACATCATGCAGCGTGAACATGCTAAAAGAGATCTGCTCATAGGGCGACCGCGTCCCATTCTCAAAGAGGCAGGCGAAAGCAATGGACGAGCTGCCAGAGATGGAGGCCTCGCCGTAGGGCAGCTCCATGTAAGCCAGGTCTGAGTAAGCGCTGGGGCCCTCATAGATGACCCACGGCGCAGTCCAGCTCTCCACATCCCTGGGGAAGGTGCTCAGGTGAACCCCCATGTTGACCCGTGACATGGAGCTGGTGGGGTGGGAGTAGAGGACCCAGGTTGGCGCTTGGAAGAAGGCAGCGGGGCTGGAGGTCGCTGCGGGATCCCCTTGGACCACAGTGACACTGCCAGCATGGCTGAGATGCCCTGGGGCCTCCTTGGGCTTGGCTGGTTTGTGGTGGCTGCCAGTGGACATGGTGGGCAGCTCATCTCCTGTTGCATGCTGGGTGGGCAGGTACCGAAACCCTGGGAGCATCTGTTGAGCTGAACCCTGGAGTGGCATCACAGGGTCCTGGGAGGCGGTAGGGACATCGATGAAAGGTTGGGCTTGGCTGGTTTGTGGTGGCTGCCAGTGGACATGGTGGGCAGCTCATCTCCTGTTGCATGCTGGGTGGGCAGGTACCGAAACCCTGGGAGCATCTGTTGAGCTGAACCCTGGAGTGGCATCACAGGGTCCTGGGAGGCGGTAGGGACATCGATGAAAGG